GATCTCCCCCATACGAGGGATCTCCCTGGCCGGTTAGTGGCGAGGCTATGTGGCTCGTCCCCAGGTGGCGGGTAGAGGTTTAATCGAAGACCAAAAGCGACCTTGGCTTCCCTGAGACGCAGGTGGATCCAGGGGATGGACTCCCTGTTTCTGCTGCGCCGATTTGGTACATACTTTCTGTATTTATTCATGGACATGTGTGGGTGCGTTTTCGCTTATGTGGATTGTATCCTACGAGTCAATTCGGCCAAAAGCTAGCAATCAAGTGACAAGGAAGTATATGGGAGACGGTTAGGAGTCGCCTCCAACAAATAAGCTCCATGTCCACTTTGGGAGAGCCTAACAAGCTACCCGTAAGTATAGCCAGCCCCAAAGCTCAGACCCCAGCAAGCTATACGTGGGTATCAAAAAGCTAAAAACAGTAAAGAAATAAGCCTCATTTCTCTGACCCCGAAAGAGTCACCAATTCAGCAGCGTTGGATAAGACGAATACGGAGAGGCTGCTGCAATCTCAGAACCAATGGAAACTGCCTGGATTGCAATGAGTTAAGGTGACGATCTGTACCTACAATACACGTACACCTGCAACCTAGTCCTCGACAAAAGACTTGCTCATGCAAGCAAGAAAAATAAGGTACGACGTCATCGGCCTCGCCGATACGAGACGACGCCACCCATTCAACTCCGTCTATGACATCGGAGGATTGTTCTTCGGAACATACGACAGTAGAGTAGTCGGCGGCGTTGGAGTTCTCCTCAACACGAGTTTGTCCATGAACAATCATTGAACAGCTTACAACCCCAATCGGACGTTTACTATTAAAAAGATGTGGATCAATGCCGGCTTTGACAATCTTTGTCGTTTACGTGCCGACATCAAACTATGACGAAGAAGAAGAAGCGTTCTATGTGTACTCGAAGAAGTTCTACAGAGAAGACCACACATTCTTCAAGGTCATAATTGGAGATTTCAACGCGAAGATTGGACCAAGAAGAACGTCTGAAAAACGTCACATTGGGACGCACGGATTGGAATGCAACGAACAGGGTGAGCGGCTGTCTGAGTTTATCACGGCGACCAAGACAATCCATTGTAACTCGGAATTACAAAAGCCCCACCCTCAACGCTGGAAGTGGGAGTCTCCCACTGGAGAATACCATAACGAAATAGACCACATCATAGTAAATAGGTTTTGCCTAACCGATGTCGCTGTTGTCTCAAAATTCTACACGAGATCAGACCACCGTCTACATCGTGCAAGATTCCATTTCTCGCGGAATAGAGAAAAGCCGCTAAATTCAAAAACCGAAGTCTTCGAACCGCCATAAACTGGGGCTTATTCCATTCATTAGTGGGCTGCTGGAAAGATGCCATTGTCGATAACATCGACGAGTAATACGATCGGCTCATTCAACATCCTCACGTTAGCGCTATAAAAGCTGAGAGTTCGAAAGTCACCAAGAGACGTCTCTCTCGAGAAACACTCAAGCTGATACGCTAGGGTGGAATCGCACGATTTGCAGGCAATCCCAACTAACAACCGAACTTGTAAAGCAATGCAGACAGAGACGATAAAAGGAAGTCTTGAAGAGAGAAAAGCAGCAGTAATGGTCGAAGCTGCAGAGGCTGTGAAAAGCATTCGCAAAGCGCACCGAAGCTTCGCCAATAACAAGACCAAGATGATTGAACCCTGTCGCCCAGACAGAACAGTTACAGCGTCCAGGAAGGCAATGGAGAACATCATTCACGAATACTAATCGGATCTCTTCGATAGCCACGTCCACGTTCCGTCATATGAGGTTCTCTCTCCCGAAATCCGATATACCAATTCGTTGGCGAAAAATCGAACAGCACCAGGTCTGGAGAGTATAAGACCAGAACACCTGAAGAACCTTTCGCCAGTCCTCGTAAACACACTGGCTCGGCTCTTCACACGTTACCTTTTTTAATGCAAGGTCCTTATTTCAGTGGAAGACCAGCAGGACCGTGTTATTGTTCGAGAAGGGTGACCTGCACGATATCGGCAACTACCGCCCAATCTGCTTACTGTCTGTCGTCTTCAAAGTTTTCATTCAAGTCGTCCTAAACAGGATTAACAAAACACTAGACAAAGGACAGCCATGTAAACAAGCAGGGTTTCGAAAAGAATTTAGTACGATGGACCACATCCACACGATAACAAGACTCATTGAAGTATCGCAAGAGTTTAAAAGACCACTCTGTCTCACTTTCATCGATTTACAGAAGGCCTTTGATTCAATTGAGATAGAAGCAGTTATGGAAGCATTTGATAGTGAAGGAATCCCTACTCAGCACATAAATATTCTTCGTAAGCTATTCAAAAATTCCACAACCAAGATTTCACCATTCTACAACAATATTACCATCGACGTCAGAAGAAGGGTTAAGCAAGGCGATACCATCTCGCCAAAATTATTTACTGCCTCCTTCCAGAACGTCATGGGAACACTAAAATGTGATAACATGTGAGCGAAAATCGATGCTTGGCAGTTACACCATGCTCGCTTTGCTGATTACGTCGCCCTTATAACACCAAACAGCCAAGCTGAACGCATGCTTGCCGACTTTGATAAAGGCTGTGGAAGGATTGGTCTTCGGCTAAATCTCACAGAAACGACATGGGCAGTTTCTAAGAACATCGAGAATGTAGTAAAGAAAACAAGGAGCACCCGACTCCGTTCCCACCTTTTCAACTCAACGGTGCCTCCTGCCCTAACGTATGCGTTAGGTCGCTGCGCAAGCGGAATGAAAGATCACTCATCGTTATCGAACGCGCAGTCGAAAGGGCGATGCTAGGAGTATTCTGTTTCACACAAGCAAAGGATGGGATCCGAAGCTCCGATATGCGGCAACGATCAAAAATCAAAGATGCCGTTCTGTGCGCCAAACAGTCGAAGATAAGGTGGGCCCAACACGTAAAGCGTTTGAACGACAACCGATGAACAGGACTCGTTAGTGACTGGATTCTTCGGGATGTCAAACGTACTGCAGGTAACTAAGTTAAATACTTACAACAAGTAAACGGTAGGTGTTTGAATGAAGCTGTTTCTTATGCGAATGCCAATCGATTTGTCAAGTTTTATCTGCTAGGGTTATGAAAATGTTTGGCTGAGTAGATCACATCTCAATTTGACCTTTCCAGGCTCTAAAGAAGGCGAAACCGCCGAAACGTCAGCTATTGTATTCTAATAAATTCTATATTAACAACCTCGTGTCTACTTATTGAAGAAAAAGATTGAATTATCAATAAATGCCGAGATTAACAGAAAGTCGGTTTTGGAAGTGACGGTTATATTATCCAATAATCCATTTTCCCTAACAAGTAATTTAGCTGTTTCATCATCGACTGATGTACTACTTCCTTTAATCTCTCTCATATATGGCATCTGGAGCCGGTTAGCCGCGATATGCCGAACGAGTGGAATAGGCTAAATGTAGGCCAAAAGTGGCCATGTAACTGCCATTTGACGCTGGTTGATTCACAAAAAGGATCACTTTCCTTAACACAGCATGCGTAGCTTACTTGGGTGACTGGATAGTTGGGCGGCCCGTGTTCACGAATTGTGCGAACCCCAGCAGATATTCCATTCGTTTTTTTGACTTGCAATTGTTGCCCGTGCTGCGCACCTAGTAGAAGCGAAGACTGTGTTACGGAACGTGAATGCTGGTTTACTTTGAATAAGATGGTTATCTTCAGTGTACCATACGCAGAAATGATCGTTTAGTAATGTTCGCTCTAGTCACCGGTGATTGCGAGCGATCTACATGATCACTTCCTGTTTAACTATCATCGATACCCATAAACCATAGAGAAGATGCGACTGCTAATGTTAGAGTGCTGAACTGCAATTGATGCTGCTGCGGGGCTAGACGACGTAGTGCTATTTAGGAGATTCTGGTTAGAAATCATATTTTTGCCTCAGTGGTCCACCATGTCACATTATTCTTATCGATGTCTTTTTTCTCTGCAGATGCAAAATTTTCTTTTCTTTGTCACGAAGTTCTGTTCTTAACCCACAATTTCAATATTGTTTCCGGAAACTGTTCTATATAAAATCTTAATCTCGACAGATTTCCTGGGAAGAAAAAACCGACCATCAAAACCGCACATGGATTTTCTTCACGATCTAAACGAATTCAAGGCTTACCGTGAAAACAAGAGCATGTATCAGGACACTTATCGTTATAAGTGAGTTGTCACTACACTGTAGTACTTCGCGTTCTTCTTCAAACCGAAAAGATTCTGTCTTTCTTTAATTCCAAACTTTAAATGACCATGCCTTCTAACGATTTACTACATCATCGTGGCTAGGTGATGTTCCTAGGTGTCGGGCTGCGACGCAAAGCGAGGAATTCATCGCTTTGCAGGGTATGCCAAGCTGAGAGGGAGTCTCGTGTTTCGAAGAGAAAGCCTAGCTAACAATGAACCAATACCTCCACCACCGTCTTGGTATCAAAGTCGCATGGTGGCAAATCTCCCTCTGATACACAAGGGTTGCGACTGCTTGTGGTGGTGAAGACCTGGCGCAGACTTCGGCCAGGCCGACCTCGGGATTCCAGGGAACCACAATAGTTTAACCAGGAAATCTCCAAAAAATGGAGATTGTGCTGCGATCCGCACAACCAGTGGAGGCGGGCCATTCAAGTATCAAGTATCAAATAATATGACCATATCTATTTCACTGCTGGTTCAAAGTAAGAACTTTGGACTTTTAGATGATGAAATAAATCAAAAAGCAGCAAGGAAGGAAAAGGGTAACTACATAGGGCGCCGTTATTTATAATAGAGGTAAGAGAGGAGCGTGGTTGGGGCATAAAATGAAGCAGTGCTTAGCAAAGACTTGGTACCTAAAAAATCTACTTTAACGATTAACCCCTCATGGTTTTCCTTTTTTCCTAGAAACCTTCTGTGCAACGTGCAATCGGAAGATACACTGCGCACACTCGGTCCACATTTGGCTTTGCCATTGTTAGTTTTATGTCCAGGATCTGCATTGGTAAGCAAAGCAATGAGCCTACCATATTTAGAGGGCATCATATAACCCATTGTATAATCGCAGTAAAGCAAATTTGTGAAGGGATATAAATAGCGCTGTGGAAAATTTACTAAATAGGAAGCAGATTCGACTGTCTTCGCTTAGGTTCAATGATCATGAGCAAGAAAAAGGCAAAGGTAGAAAGGTTGGAAAAGCTGGGAACAGATAAGTGGTTGAAAAAGACGAAATTCTTGATAAAACACCTTAACGGAACAGAACTACTAAAGAAGTTTTTAGCACTAAGGCGTTCCTTTCCAAAAAGGTCCGGGATTTATCCATAACATTTATTTTAAAAAGTAGGAAATGCGTATTTACTGCAAAACAGGTTCTCTTATTTAACGCGCGTAGTTTTCCATCAGTGAGTTTTAATAAGAAAAGAGAACGGTCCTCTTTCAAGTAAACTGCATTTTCCGAGTTTCGAGAAGCTAGCAGAAAGCGCTGCTTATGAAAACATGAGCTACAAGTCAGCGCAGCTTTCTAAGCCCGTTCGCGAAATATTGCATTCGCTAGGTATGCGTTGCCTTTCGAACGAATCGACGACCCTCGTGGGTGGACCGTGGAGGTGTTCCAGCGCTACTGGGCCCACTCGATCACCATCTCCATCGCCTACTTCATCATCATAAAATGTAAGTGCCCTGAGACAACGACTTTCTGCCTGCTGTTGTTTACTATGTAGACTTAGGCATTCAAAGCTACATGGAGAAAAGAGGACCGTTTCCATTGAAGACAACGCTGTTCTTGTGGAACACCGCACTGGCAGTCTTCAGCATTGTCGGATTTATCAGGATCTCAGAGGTGAGTAGAATCTTTAATTTTAGTCCGTTATTTGCACAATCGTATCAAAAACTGAAATAACGCATTATTTTGGTCTGATTACAAGTTTTTCTATTTTTCCCCACCATGTAACATTTTCCAGCTCTGTTTTTAAGTTTAATAACCCACGCTTGAGCTCTAGCATAGTCTCTGAGTCAACTAGTAGGAAGACCGTGCTAATGATTGGTCGCCCAAAAGATACTTTCTTCGGATCCACATCGTGTTTAAGACGTGGATACGCTTTTGCAAGGTTATGTCAGGACTCCAGGTAGGACTGCACAATTAGCAATAGGCCAGCCTCAGTACCCTCCACACTGGATGCTCACGCCTATAACATCGATTGACGCGTCATAAGAAGATCGTAATCATCAATTGCTACTCATCGACTGACGCAGCTGATGAGTATGAATTAGATGAGTTCTACTATCAGATGAAGGAAGTTATCCGCAGTAATAAAACGTATTATAAATTTGTTGTCGGAGACTTCAACGCCAGAATAGAAAAGACCAATGAGAGCGGATACAGGATCGGAAATTTTGGATTAGGAGAAAGAAATGAGAATGGGAACCGTCTCGCAAGACTCCTGTCTGCAGCACGTCTCTTCCATGGAGGCTCGCTTCTCTACAAGAAAGAAAGCCACCTCTGACATAGGAATATCCTGGCGGAATAAATCATATAGAGATCGACCACATTTTGACAAACGTAAGATGGTGCTTACTTGACGCATCGTAAGCACCGCCTTTCTGTACCGGTTCCGATCACCGCCTTCTTCGCTCGAAGATTCGATTCAGCCGTAAGCTGAATTCAGCTGGGAAAGAATCATGTCATTGATTACGAGGAAAAAGTGTCAGGCTGTATATGACGAGAGCGCAATGAAAGAAATCCTACCCATACGTTTCTGGCAGATTAAATGAGACCAGATCGAAGACAACAAGCTTCTTGTCAAAGAACTGAAAAGCTCCACCGAATTCGCTTTAGTTTCTTAAGCAAAAAGAACGGGTTCTTATCTTTATCACTAATAAGGAACTGCTCGAAGAAGAAGGAAACTGGAGCTTTGTCCTATTGAAACATTTTCAAAACGGCTAGTAGCAAATGCTGGCTGGAGGAGAGCTCTGCAGAAATATCTATATCGGTACAGGCAGAAGGGAGCAGCAGAGAAGGCAAGCAATCTGGTAGAATGTCGTCGGGACTTGTGTGACTATAATGTTCCGCCGTCAGCAGTGATAAACGACGATGGGATCGTCGGAACTTCTCGCCATGATAGGGAATTGATAAAGGAAACGTTCTACACCAACCTTTTCCATTCTACAATCTCCGTACTGGAACCTGACATCTCACTGGAGAAAACTCACCTGGAATTCTTCCGCCAGAGGTTCAAGTTGCGGTAAGAAGTATGAACAGAGGGACAGCTTCAGGGACCGATAATACAAGCGCCAATTTCCTTAAGCTGGAAACCACAATTTACACAAATCTCTTTTAAAACATATGACAGTCTGCCTTCAAAAAAAAAATTCCAGACCAATGGAGGACGTCGCGCACGGTTATCCTTCCCAAGAAGAATGACCGAAGGGATCTGCCTAACTACCGTCCGATATGCTTCCTGAGTGCGCTCCATAAGCTCTTTATGATGATATCCTCTCGCGAATATCAAGGACACTGGATGAGGTGAAACAAGTGGAGCAAGCAAAATTTCGACAAGTATTTTGCTGGAAGGACCATATTGAAACTGTGTCCAGGATCGCTGAAGTTTGTCGCGAACACTATGTGCCCTTAGTCCCAACTTTTGTCAACTATGAAAAAGCATTTGACAGTGTAGAAATGACACTGTTCATAGTATTGGACATCGAATTGCGAATACTACGCACCTGTCTACGAAGCCGACAAAACCAGATGTTCGCCAAGTGGAAGAAGTGCGAGACGAAGAAAAACTTTTCTGCTTAGTCTTTGGAGAACCGCCTCTGGAGAAGAATAGTGGGCGGGCTCTGAGGAAGGCGAAATCCGCCGAAAAGTCAGCTTATTCGTGAATGAAGAATAATAACACCTCGCGTTTGCTTAGCAAAAATACGAAGTGTGGAAATGAATTCAATTCTATAGGCGCTCATCGACCAAGGAGTGCACCTACATCTTCTCCTGTCTAACTCTGTCTAACTGCTGTGGGCACTGCACTACGAAAAGCAAAGTTTTTCCATCGACTTCTTACCATACCGACAAGAAACAGGTTCAACAGTGTGACACAATATCATCAAAGCTGTTTAGTACTGCAGTGCACTGGATAATGAAGTTACTCGATTGGGACGAAACTCTCCTATGAAACCTTCGTTTTTCCGCGAGTTCATCATCTTCTCAAGAAGTACCAGCGAAGCATAGACGGTAACCAATAAGCTCATCGAACCTCAAAAAAGAAAAGATCGGACTACGCATAAATCAGAAGAAGACCCACTTCATGAAAAAACGATCGTGCGAAGGCGAACAAATTGAACTGGATGGCTCTCCAATTGCAGAGACCACCTCTTAAGTAGTTTTCTTGGGCGATCAATTAACGTGGAAAACAACATGAAGAAGGAACTAGATAGAAGAAGGAGAGCAGCTTGGGCGGCATTCAGGTCTCTCAAGGAAGCCAACGACCAACTGAAGGGCCTGAAAATCCGCGCTCATCTTTTCGGTTCTACGGTGCTCCCAGAGCTCTGTTATGCTGCACAGACGTGGGCTGATACTTCAACTACTTCAATAACGCTTCCCACTAGTCACGGAGCGCTTGAGCGATGTCTTCTGAGGTAATCTTCACCCTCAATATCTAGCACCAATCCGAAGCTCTGATCCTCGAAAACTGCCACATCATCAAGATCCAGGACATTATTCATCCAAAACGAAACATAGATGTGCCGGTCACATAATGAGAATAACAGGCGACAAATGGACGAGAAGAACAGTAGAGTGGACTTCGCGAAAATGCACATGTCCCCCAGGACGGCCAGCTACACATTGGGCAGACATATTGACAAACAAAATAAATCAGCTGTACATGCAGATGCAGTTATTTCATTGGTGGCTATATTAGACTCACAGGCGCCACCATGTTCAGATGAAACCAACGCCATAGAAGACGACTGCTAGGGAAAGAAACGAATGGCAGATTTGCTGGGGTATCCGCACAAGCCGTGAAGACGGACCGCCTAAGTATCCAAGTAATCCTGTTTTTTTATGTGACGCAAATAGCGTGGCTTACCACTCCTATTTGACAAACATTATCTTCATTAATTTTGTATAATTTATTGATTATTTCGCTGAACAATGTTAGATAAATAAAACAAAATAATGGTAAGAAGAAATAGAAAAACGAAAAGTCACTCGCATACCGATTAATCTCACTGCGAAGTAAAAGAGACCGCTGTGCGCAACTTTTCGCCGGGTTGCACTTTCTCCGAAACACCGAAGGTTCTATTTTTAGGTGCAGCCTAGTCGGCCAACTACTGTTTCTAAAAATCCAATCATTGCGTGTCAGTCACATACTTTAATCACATAATAAACAATTTAATAATCATTCGCAGTGTTGCACACCTTTTTCGAAACCATCGACGGTGACATGGTTTTCAAATAAGCTTCCGCTTAACCTGTGGCATAAATAACTAATGTACTTTTTTAGTGAAATACAACCAAAACGACACTTAGATATGAGCAAAACTCGGGACCTCACGCAGGCTTCGAACCAGCTACTGCGCTTACAGAAGGCTCACGTTTTATTTACCACACCAACCTAGGGATGGCAACAAATTTTTCATTGGGCTGATGTTTTGGGATATACGACCACGAAGATCCACATCACAGAACGAACGGCTATGAGCAATCGACTCGAATCATTAATTCTCTCGTGAAGACGGCAGCGCCGTAACGTTAGCCGCATAGATTTTCATAACAGCTGAATAAGCTAAAGGAATATATTGGTTTTTCATCAGTTTTGAATTCGCACAGAACCATTTGCGGAAGTAGCATCTCGATCTACACCATTTCTCATTGGCACTTCTTCTGAACACTTGAATAACTTTCACTGAAAACGTGTCTGAGAAGCGTTAGACAGTGTTACACTAAATAAGGAAGATGTACGGTGTCATTCCGGACAAGTAGCTTTGAGCTTAATTGGCTCAGATATGATATCTCAGTGTTGCTAGTGATTTTATCAGCTGTCAAGATACAGTGAATTCCGTGCTTTCTCAGGATTTTTTCCAATCGCTCTACACGAACGGCATATACTTCTCGTTTTGCTACTCGTGTCATCCGAACGACGTCGCCGCTTTCTGGAGCTTCCTCTTCGCTATCTCTAAGGTGACCGCATCTTATAATCGGTATTTATCATGTTTATATGGATTTTATATAACACGTATGTTTTCTGTACTGGACACAAGCTGCATTTGAAATTACGGTTGGAAATCTCCACGAATTTTCCAGTGAACGAAGACGGGGGCGATTTAATTCCGCAGGGCTTGAAATTTACAACTTTGCATTTTCATTTGAACTATGAGATTAACAGATGATCTACCAGTCTTCCGAACATGATAGATTTTGAGCATGGGGATTGCATGGCATGTGGATGGAATTTCTGTGGGGTTTTTCTTTCTCGTCAACTATTTATATTTATTGATTTGGTATTCTATACAAATGATTTTTAGGTAGTCGAACTTGGTGACACATTGTTTATTGTTCTAAGAAAGAAGCCACTGTCCTTTCTACATTATTATCATCATGCTGCCGTCCTCGTCTATACAGTACATTCAGGTAACCCCCAAAAAGTTCGAACAAAAATGACCATCACGACTATAACATTATCTGCCTTGTATTCCGTCTCCTTTTCATCACCATTTCATGACAAAATCTCAAGACGAGCTTTTTTACGCTCAGCGTGTCATTCTACGGTGTTCCTTGTTTAGCATTCACATAATGTAATGTGATAACATCGTCAACACGTTTATTTCTATGGCACTACAAATTCATGAGTCTAACTGGAGCTATTGTTCTGTGGACAAGACAAAGAATAAAGCTCCCTGCTTTGGGCTATTCTTCAGTGAGGGCCAAGGCCTTCCCATTTCATCAGACCTCCTAGAAATGGTTGACTGTATGTCTGGCTTGTACATTGATGTGTGATAGCTTGCTAATACATCAAGTAATTGTTGCTCTACTTCTACACAGGTACAGTACCAATTTGCTAACCCCGGAGGAATGGAGCGTTTGGTAAGACCGTTATGCGGGAAAGAATCGAGAATCACGTATCAGGCACAGCACCTCTAGCTTCTGCACTACACAATCACCTTAACTCTGGGTTATTTTCAAAGAAGAATCTTTAAAGGGAATTAGTGATTAAGATTGGGACTAGGCATTGTATTCAAAAAGACGACTGGGGCGATCGCATTAACTGCACGGAAGTTTGTGCATAGGGTTATTCCAACTCATGTTAACCTCCGAATTATAGATTTCGAACATTGTGTCAGTCGAAGATTAGGTGATTTCTGCGCTCAAATCGGGTTGCAATAAACGATGATAGTGAAAAAATCCAAAAAAAAAGAGAAAAACAGTTACCTTCGGCGTAAAATAGGCTATGGATGTTTATCCACTACGACATTCATTCTGTTCATTTTCCGGAACCAATCATCCACAACGGTCCTCGAATTTGTGGCTTTTAGTGCCCCTTGAAGGTTTTGTCCTTTTTATCATTATTAATGATTGCTGAATAGTCCAGCAAATTCTCTCAAGAACTTTAACAAGAAGATTCGTTACTCTCTGTTAACTGCCAGTCGCCAGTGCATAGAGTCCGTACTTGGCATTATTTCCTTGACGAAAACTTTCTAATCACGAGCAAACGGGAGCGTGGTACTTCTCAGGAATGATCGAACCGAAGACTGTCAGCGTGCAATTGCGGTGCATTACCACCCACCTCGCTACTCGTGCCTTTGATTTCGCTATGAACTTAATAAAGCATTAATCTGAAAGCCGTTGACTATCCTCACTTTTTCCTTAATATTTATTTGCACCCTATTCTTTTTTTCATAGCAGGACACAATGTGAAGTGCTATCACAATGAAATTAGAACTCTGCAAAACTCGGAACATCAGTTGGGCTTCGAACTGGCAATTACCCTCACAGGAGGGATTGTGGCCTACAGGAAGACAACGCGAGGCCACAGGTAGGTGTGCTGAACGGCAAATGAGCGCCGGAAAATAAATGGATTGGGTTCGAAGTCCACATGTGGTTCTGAGATTTGTTAATAGTTTGCCATTCTTATGGTTGCCTTTCATATGGCATCATGCAATGAAAAAAGAATAGGCAGTAGGTAGAAGTTAAAACATTATCATTCAACATTGGTTACAACAATAAGGTAGCACTTCACGAAGCAGCTAGTTTTAAGTGTTTTTACGGTTGTAGGTGCTGAAAACGCTGCTCCCGGTCGAGCATTTATCACCATGAACTACTTTGCCCACTCCGCCATGTACACCTACTACGCTCTCACCTCCTCCGGACTCAAATTACCAAGATGGGTTAGTTTCTTACAGCCAAAGACAAACCGCAACCTCAAAAATAGATTTAGTTTATAAAGACTTCAGAATTTTCGCAAAATGAGTCTTTAAAACTTTAAATGGTTATTTGATAGATAAAGCTAACTTACACTACTTTTAAATGATAGTTAGTGAAAATTGATGAAAGTCATACACTCTCCGAGTTCTAGACAGAAAGCCCGCTCTTCGGCCACAAAAACTGAGCTTAAAGCTTCCTCAAGACTATATTTTTGCTATATATGCTAATATCTAATTTAACAACGGCTTCACAAACTATCAAAAGATTTTTTTCTCTTCAATTCCATCCCTTACTATAGACAGACGCAACAAAACCATCGTGTACTTTATTTAGACTTACGGTTTCGCCCTCATAAATTGTTCGGAATACACTACTATCACTGTAGGAGCCGTGCTGGTGAAAGTGAAGCAAAATATTTGGGCTTTCAGAAATAGCTTCCTGAAAAGGTCAAGAAAGACGTAAGAAGGAGTAGAGTGCGACCAGAAGACAAGGAAACCACTTGAGCTATTGTGAGTGATTGTGAGCAGTTCCAGGTCTCAATGTGCGTGACGTCCATACAAACAGTTCAAATGCTAGCCGGTGTTGCCATCAGCTACACCGTCTACAAAATTAAAACTGAAACGAATATGCCGTAAGTTTAACTCATTTAATTCCAAGGCCTCCTGGTTTTCATGACAATTCACGCATTTCTCATCCATTCATATTTCATGCAGAAGCAGAACGTAAGCTTTAGACAGCGCCTTCATTGGTAAATTCTTAATAGTTCTTAAGATCGACTTTCCATTAACATCCGCATTGGATTATAAATCTGTGGGGTTTTTTCAGCAATCGTGTGGTTGTTATAAAGCACACGTTTACTTCCGTGCGAAAAGAACACGTACAACAGAACAGTAGCTGATGTTTCGGCAGTGTCGGCTTCTTCAGAGCCTGGAAGGGTTCACTGATACGTAATTTACTACTTTTCAAACTTCCAAAAAAAGTAATTTGAAACGCTTCAACAACTTAAAGAGAAGGTGAAAACCTAAACGAAAATAACACGATCAACAGCTTCCCGAAAAACCCACTGTTTTTCACCAGCCTTCCACCGTGGAAGTACTGCTGCCTAGAGTTGCACATGGTTGATGACTGCACCACCCCACATCAAAAACCGATTCTGAGCTACTGGAGTGGCTCACGTGTTATCTCCGGAAATTCTTCACCGTAATTCATTCTCGGATTCTTGGCATTCATCCAAAAACCCTCGAGAAGTTTGCGCGCTGGTACTTCAAAATCCTGTGCAAGGATAGCTATCCTCATATAAATAACGCCTCTGCTACGCTTTTGTATCGTCTCTAGTAAAACTTCTTCTTATTTTTTACTTACCATCTAGATGCTCTTTTATACGGATGCATAATGGTCTGCCTGTTTCGCCAATATGTTTATCGTAGCAAG